CGTGTCCCGTTGTCCCACGCTTCCACGTCCTCCTGCAAGGGCTACCCGCGTGCCGAGGCTTGGGGTGGGGGGTGACCACGCAACCAGAGGGGACACAGGTCCCCACCACGTCCCCACCGTGTCCCTGCCGTGTCCCCAGCGCGCGGGTGTTTGTCCCCGGTGCCCAACTGGGAGCTTCCTCTCCGCAAGCGGCTGCACTGGTGACCGTCGTGTCCCTGAGCATCCCCAGCTCGCAGTGGCTTCACCACTCCTGTCATACTGACCGCCGCGCATGGACCCTGCCGGTGTCCCACGGTCCCTCTGGTCCTGCAGGCCACCATGCACAGACCCTGATGGTGTCCTGTGGTCCCCCTGGTCCTACAGACCACCATGCATGGACCCTGATGGTTTCTTCTGGTCCTGGAGACCACCATGCGTGGACCCTGATGGTTTCCTCTGGTCCTACAGACCACCACGCATGGCCCCTGATGGTTTCTTCAGGACCTACAGACCACCATGCATGGCCCCTGACGGTTTCTTGTGGTCCTTCTGGTCCTAGAGACCACCATGCATGGACCCTGATGGTTTCTTCTGGTCCTACAGCCCACCAGGCGTGGATCCTGATGGTCTCTTGTGGTCCTTCTGGTCCCACCAGCTGCCATGCATGGAACCTGCCATCCTCCTGTGGTCTCTCTGAGCCTGCTGACTGCCATGCATGGACCTTACCATCCTACCGTGGACGCTCTGGTCCTACAAACAAGCATGCATGGACAGTGATGGCCTCTTGTGGTCCCTCCAGCCTTACTTAGCACCATGCGTGGATTCTGCTGGCCTCCCCGCAATCCCTCTGGCCATGCACGGACCCTGCTGGTCTCCCACCATCCCTCCTGCCCTGCTGACTGCCGCGCATGAACCCTGCCATCCTCCCATGGTCCCTCTGGACCTACAGACCACCGTGCATGGATGGTGATGGCCTCCGGTGGTCCCTCTGCTCCTACAGACCCCCGTGCATGGACCTTGCCATCCCCCATGGTCCCTCTGGTCCTACTGACCACCGTGCATGGACCCTGCCATCCTCCCATGGTCCCTCTGGTCCTATAGACCACCACGAATGGATGGTGATGGCCTCCTGTGGTCCCTCTGCTCCTACAGACCACCGTGCATGGACCTTGCCATCCCCCATGGTCCCTCTGGTCCTACTGACCACCATGCACGGACCGTGCCATCCCCCATGGTCCCTCTGGTCCTACAAACCACCGTGCATGGACCCTGCCATCCTCCCATGGTCCCTCTGGTCCTACAGACCACTGTGCATGGATGGTGATGGCCTCCCGTGGTCCCTCTGGTCTTACAGACCACCATGCATGGACACTGATGGCCTCCCGTGGTCCTTCCTGTCCTACAGACCACCGTGCATGGACCCTGCCATCCTCCCATGGTCCCTCTGGTCCTACAAACCACCATGAATGGATGGTGATTGCCTCCTGTGGTCCCTCTGGTCCTACAGACCACCGTGCATGGATACTGCCATCCTCCCATGGTCCCTCTGGTCCTACTGACCACCATGCATGGATGGTTATGACCTCCCGTGGTCCATCTGGTCCTACAGATCACCATGCACAGACCCTGCCATCCTCCCATGGTCTCTCTGGTCCTACTGACCACTGTGCATGGACCCTGCCAGCCTCCCCGTGGTCCTTCCTGGCCTACTGACCACTGTGCATGGCCCCTGCCATCCTCCCATGGTCCCTCTGGTCCTACTGACCACCATGCATGGATGGTGATGACCTCCTGTGGTTCATCTGGTCCTACTCACCCCCATGCACAGACTCTGCCATCCTCCCATCGTCCCTCTGGTCCTACAAACCACCATGCATGGATGGTGATGGCCTCCTGTGGTCTTTCCTGTCCTACTGACCACCGTGCATGGACCCTGCCAGCCTCCCCATGGTCCTTCCAGTCTCACAACCCAACATGTGTGGACCCCCTCAGGCGCAGGGGCTCTGCTCAACCAGCATGGTCCCTCCAGCTATGCGTCACCCAGCTCTTTGTCACTCCAACCAAAGCCACCTGAAACAACCGTGACCAGGGGGACCAGGGCAGGGTGAGCCCCGGGGACGAGGGTGGGTGCTGAGCCCTGAGGGACTGGGGTGCGCTGAGCCCCCCTGGTGGCTTCATCCAGCTCGTGGGAGATGGTGAGTTCACCATCACGGCAGGGGAAGGCGATGGAAGCCACACGGTGAAATCCTGGCCCTGCCAAGGTCGGTCCCACCGGGGTCAGTGCCACCATGATCAGTGCCACCAGGGGCGGTGCCACCACTGTTGGTCCCACCAGGATTGGTCCCACCAGGGCTGGTCCCACCAGGGTTGATCCTACAGGGGCCGGTCCTACCAGGGTTGGTCCCACCAGGGTTGGTGCCACCGGGGTTGGTGCCACCGGGGTTGGTCCCACCACGGTCAGTCCCACCAGGGTGGGTCCCACCAGGGTTGGTGCCACTAGGGTCGGTCCCACCAAGGTTGGTCCCACCAGGGTTGGTCCCACCAGGGTTGGTGCCACCGGGGTTGGTCCCACCGGTCAGTCACACTGGGGTTGGTCCCACCAGGGTTGGTGCCACCACGGTCGGTCCCACCAGGGTGGGTCCCACCAGAGTTGGTCTCACCAGGGTTGGTCCCACCAAGGTTGGTCTCACCAGGGTTGGTCCCACCAAGGTCGGTCCCACCAGGGTCGGTCCCACCAGGGTCAAGGGCAGCCCGGGTGCAGCCATGGGGCCATCTGCCACCCCGTTGCCGCTCCACCGCATCGTCCCACGGCACCATCCCTGCGCCAAAACCCGGCGGTGCCGCAGCGGGTGTCCCCCCGGCACAGCAAACGCTCCCGACGTGACGCCTCCCGGATTTGGGCTGCGGGGCGGCCGCTCGTCTCTTCGTCTCCTCTACCAGCGCCGCCTCGCCTGTTTTCTCGGGGTACCCGGAGCGTCTGCGGGAGCAACGGGACACCCCAAAGCCGAGGCTGCTCCCCGGGACGAAGTGAACTGAATTCCTTTTGCCTTACCTACTCGGAGATGCCTTTAGCGAGACGCTTTGCCCAAACCCCGGTAGGACCCATCCGGTGACCGTGTCCGGCTGCTGCCCCATGGCTTCGCCTACGACACCCCCTCCCCTCAAACCCTTCTCCCCCCTCTCCCCACGCCACGGGGTGGGGACAGGGACGGTCCCAGAAGACGGCAAACCCCCAAACTGCAAGAGGAGGAAGGCGGCTCCATCTCCGGCGCCATGCCGTGGCACCGACGATGCCACGGT